ATGATATTTAAATACATGATGCATAATTATGAAAAGTTCACCATTAAATAAAAATGAAACAACTTTTAAAAAGTTAACAATAAAAAAACAAATAGTTTATATTCACAAAAAAATAAGCATTTCTACATACAAACATAAACATACATTATAGATTTGAAGACCTGGTATGAAAAATGCGAAGCAAACGAAGTGTTAATTTAAATCAATATTTAATTTATATTCATTGAAAAATCTTTTTGCAGCCACTGATAAGAAAAATGATCTTCTTTTAAATGATAATCCATTCAAAACCTCGAGTGTTGCACGAATTTTTGTTGGATATTCTATATTGAATATTTCATAAGAACCAATCAAAATAGCCATTGCTTCAGCTTGAGAATTCGTTGTAATTAATTGATTATATTCAATAACGATAGAATAATTTGTAGTATCATTGACCTTTTGAATTTGAATCATTGGATAAGCATCTATAGTTTCCTAAAATTAATAAAGATAAAATTAAGAATCAAACTTGAAAATTTCTGTTTTATTATCGATATAGCACTCACATGATGTAATAATAGTTTCTTCGAATGTTTATAACGTTTCATGATTAAATGTTCCAAGATAAAGAAAGGTTGCTCTTCTAAAATAAGGAAGATAATATAGGATGATAATTTAGAAGTATTACCTCTGATAATATTTTCATTTTGTGAATGATTCAAATGTTTGAGTAGTTTCGTGCAACTTGACTTTAATGTTTCAACAATATCTCCATCGAATGGATCAAAATGGACATTAATTTCACGAATTATCTATACATGAAAAATAAATGAAAGTAAATCAATTTTTTATATAACAGTGAGAGTTGGTGAGTTAAAATAATATATTCTTTAAGACTTACCAGATCAGTTACTGTTAAAGCTGGATATAAATCAATAATTTGTTTTATTGGTTTCATTTCTTGCACAAAACGTTGACGATGTGGATACGTTATGTCCATTTTTGCTTTAATTTGACCATAATCATAGTTTGTTGTGTTTATTAAAACACGCATTGAATCAGCTTGTTGAGACAATTGCATTAAACATTCTTGAGATTGTTCTTTTTCTTGAATCAAATACTCCTAAAAAGAGAAAAAAAAGAAGTTGCAGAATAAAGCAACATTTAAGTACTTACATGATGAGATACTAAATCAACTTTAACAAATTTTAGCTTCCGTCCTGACAATAGATGACCATATGACTGTCGTTTTTTCAGTAATACATCAAATGAATAACCATAGTGTTGACGATCGCGTGAAAATTGTTGTTTTAATGCTGATGTTAATAAACTCTAAACGAGAAAGAAAATATGGTGAAAATAAAAAAAATATTCAATATTATATCACTTATACCATATCTTCGCCGAATACTTTACTAAGTGCTGGATATTTATTTTTCACACTAACAACCATTCGGTCAAATTCAGATGCAGTTGGATAAAAATCAATGCCATAGGTATTGGCTACATCATCACGAATTGTTTTAACAAGTTGTTGTTTTTTTCTGCACCGCAGTCCAAAATCTGTTTTCGATGGATCTTCTGCAGCTTTCTCGAAAGCTTTATCAAATTGTGGAAGCATGTAATTCAATGGAAATTTTTTTTTCGATTGAGATATTGACGTAATTGAAGAATTATCTAATGATTGGTGGATTCTTTGATCGATTGGTGTATCTTGTGGTGGTAAAAATTGTGAACTCGAGGTAGATTGATCATTCAATTGATTTGAAACATTTGTGGGTGATAAAGAAACTTTGAGATGATCTTGATTACCAATAACGTGATGTTCAGCATCAATGTTAAAGTCATGAAAAAATGATAAATTATTTGAAGCGTTTGAATTTATTTCATTTATTAAAATGTCCGATTGTTTTTCATTTAATGTCAAAATATTACTAAGTGGAAAAAAAAAGAAATGAATGATAAGAAATGAAAAAAATAAACACTCACCTAGAACTTGAAAAAACATCTGATTTTAACATCTCCAGCTTTTTTTCGAACTTTGTTTTAATACCTATTGTTGGCTTCTTAATAACATTATCAATAGTATTGATTGATAAAAGTTCATCGATTGATGATGAATTCAAATTTAAAAGAGATAAACCATCAATTTCTTCGTCTAAAATAAAGTAAAATAAAATAAAATAAGATAAAAATAGATTTAACATAAAAAATAAATGATTTTTAAATACCTTTAAACTTATTTACGTATTCGTCAAAACCATTCTCCATCAACCATATTGAAACATCTTCCTGAGTCCAATCCATCGAAAATATATCTAAAATAGATTGAAAAGAAAAAATCTATATGATTTTAGTTTTTTGAAGCCGTTGAAGAAAAATAAGCGAATACCAAATATTTATTAAATATCGAATTAATAAATCAACATAAGTAGGTACAAAAAAAAAGATCATTCAATAACAGTTAAACGATAAGGTGCACGAATGAAATATGAATTATTTATATGGTAACAGTCTTCTGCTTTATGTGTTAAAAATTCATTTTTACTCAATATGCAATTATTGTTTGATGGGTTAATTTCATAACACCATAAATTTTGTCTAAATGTAATTGTATCATAACATTGAACAATAAAACGCCATTGTTTGACTATATGAATAATAAATTTAATTTTAACGAATAATGGAATTTCTTCTCCACCTAATAAATAAGCAACAAAAAAATCTCCGACCTTGTATTTAACATTATCTATCAATACCCATTTGACAAATTCAACAATGTCACCATAAATGAATTGATTGTCATCGAGTAATGCTTTTTGTATTAATTGATTAACAGTTATTTTGCGTCGTGTATGAATTTTACCACTAACGTTATTTAATTTAAATACATTTTCATCAATTAATTCATAACACTGACGAAGTTGTATACGTTTAGAAATCGTGTATGGTAAATTAATAAAATTATTACATCGATTGGCGATTTGTTTTAACAAATGATGTTTTGCCTCATAACGTAAATTCATTTGTCGTTTTAAGGGACCATATTTTGCTGTATTTCGTGCTGCATGAAGAAGATAGTGAAACTTGGGAGTGAATTGGTCAGGGAAAATTGTTTGAAACAATTGTATAAATTCTTCAATTAATTCTTGAAGAGTTGATAACCAAGATTTTCTTGGAAAATCACAGTATAACATATCCCATATTTCACGTAATAGTTCATATAAAAACCAATAAGGAATTTTGTCAACAATATTGAATAACATAAATGGTAAATTCAAAAACAAACAATATTTTTCCATAGTTTTTCCTACAAGAAAAAAGATATATATTATTGATTGCAGAGTGATAGTTTTTGTGTTATTTGTTTTTCTTTTTAATGATCAACAAGTGTCGAATTCATTATTGAGATCAAAAAAAAAAAAGATTTGATGTTTACCTCGAATAATTTTTTCCGAAATATCTTTTTCTTCCAATACAGTTGGTCGATTTCTTTTATCGTTGCTACCATAAGTAAATTTGTTTATCATTTGACATATTTTTGAAGATGTGCATAAACGATTAGACACCACCACGTGTAATAGGCAACTAGTTCATTTAGGCATGATACCTTCCATTGCATCATGCATCAAATCCGGTGGCAGAGAAGTAATAGGATGAAACGATGAAATAAATGATAATGCTGATGCTTCATTGATACCATACATAGATTTATCTGAAGGCACGTTTTCTACATGTTTTAGCTGAATATCATGCGATTCAGCTGTACGAATTAATGTTTGTGATTCCTTGTAAATATGTTTCATATCGTGATGATGCGTGAAACAATAACGACAAAAATAACCAGTAGTAAAAGTTCTTGTAAATCCACCAAGTTCATGAGCTAAATAAAAATAAAATTAATAGAAGAACTAAGTGTTAAATTATGTAGGATATAAATTTACGCCAGCCATGGTAGTATTAAATAAATTGTACAGTAAATGCAGTGTTCGTTAAAGAATACTTTAATTTCAAAATTATTCAACTTTTTAAAAATTTCTGCTGTCAGCCTTTTCTTTTTACAAAATATTTTATTGAAAGATTTACCTGCTAGATTATCAGCACATAATGTGCTAATTGTAAAATAAGTCGGAGTTTTATCACCAGGTAATATAAGACCCATCATTTTCCAAACTTCTTAAATCTTGACCTAATTGTTCAAATAAAATTCGACGATTGTTTTGATCTTCAAAATCTTTTTTATAATATAATAAAAGTAAATATACGACACGTAAAGAAGAACTATGACGTGATGGTAAATCATCAAGCGAAAAATAAAATGTTGTCAATTTGTGTACAGCATTTTTACCCATCAATGGATTAACAACACCTAAATCATCAGAGTACAACTGTAATAATAAAGAATTTTTTTTATTATTTAAGATATGATGTTGTCGTCCAATTTCTGCATTTCGATAATGATAAATAATATCTTGTTCATGAAATTGAGATATAAGTTCTTTTTCTTGTTTAATGCTGTCATAAAAATCTTTTTTTTCAAATAAATTCATAAGTAGATCACATAATGGAATGTAATAAGCTTTATTTCCCGTAGGTAAGATTATTTCTTTTGGTTTGACAAACGTGAAATAAATTTGACAAGAAGAAATAAATGAATCTTCACTTTTTGATATTTCAAATAATGTTTTTTCAACATCATTGTTAAAATTGTTTGATATGGCATTATCAATATTCATGTGAAGCTTTGATAACAAATGATATGAAAAAATTTCTAACAGACAAGTAATAGATAATGCCATAGTCTTCATAACATTACCAGGAAGTACATGACCTTCTCGTACTTTTAACAGCATCTTCAAATAAAATTTTTTGATATCATCTAATGAATCATGATTTTCGTATTGCCACGATAAAATTCGTTGTTCTTGTTGTTCACCTTGTTCTTTTTGTTCATGTTGTTCAATTTCAATTTCACCATAATTGTTTAAATTAAAGTCATTACAATCTAGTAACAATGGTAACGGAGGCATTTCTTGAGAAGAACAACCTAAATGATGATTACGAAAATGATTCATAAAAGATTTTAGATTAGTAAATATAAAACAAGAGTCACACAATGGACAGTTTGTGCCAAATAAACGATCATTCCCATGCACTTGTCGCATATGGCGCAGGTATCCAGCTTCTCCGTCAACACTTACAGGACAAATGGTACATTGTTTAACACAACTAATAGACATTGATCAAGTAATAACAGATATAAATTGAATAAATCAAATAAGCATAATCTTAAAGTAAAAAGAAAAAATGCATAATATTAAAATTCATAGCTTTGTTTTTTTTTGTTTTCTGGATACAATAACTACTAATCCCATACATGTGAAATATCGTAGATATACGAACATACTTCTTCTATATATAGCAACAATATGGGTACGAAATAATGAAAAATAAGTGATTACATAATAGTTCAATAATGACCTAACAATCGGCGACGTCAACGATGACAATGGTTACCAAAGACGAAGAGGACGACGAAAATGAATTCGAAACAAACAAATAAGAGTGATGTGAAATATATGTGCTGAATAATATGATACTAAATTTATCTAGTGTTAATACAATGGAAAAGATGGCGATACGATAAAAGCAAAAGAAAACGAATAGCGAGTGGAGAAAAGTTATTCGGCGTCCAACTTAGTTTCATCTTATTTTTCCAAACTTGAAAAGAATTTTTAAGTATTTTCTCTTCGTTCCGATCAGTCTCAATTAAGATGTAGCGACTTTTTTGGAAAAAATGCTTTAATATTGTAGCAATAATTGATTTTGCTGCAAGAATCGACATCGTAAATATAACAGTTAAGATATAAAATTTAACACATTTTTGGTCAAAGAATATATAAAGTCGCTACAAGCTGACCTAACATATGCATCAAAGGCATTGTCAACATAGATGAATGAAAGCAATTTTGTTTACATGTTTCAAATAATCGTACGCATTCTTGCTAATGTAAAGTATTCTAGAATAATTCCGCACTGTTCAGGTCTCAAGTTACTACTTGTAATTGAAAAAATCTGTGCAACTAACTCTTCATAAATAATCAGTAGAACTTAATATAGTGTAGCTAACGAATTTTGTCTAATAAATAAAAAAATTGAATCTGATCACATTACAAATATATGTTGGACTGAGGAAATTATGAATTGTGAACATTAGGAACCAATCATATAAGCTAATTTAAAAAAAGCTAGTGATAAGTACATAACCATAAACATCATTACTTTTTCGAATTCGTCATTGATTTTCAAATTATGCTCATAATCCGTATCGATTTTCTCCTTTTTCGAAAATCTATGTTTTGAGAAAATCAAATTGAAATTTTGTCATTTTGAAAATCAAAGATTTTCAAGATGCACTGAATTCAATAAATGAATCATGAAACGCTAAAAATCCTCAAGCTTTCTCATCCTCGATTTTTGAAAAGATAGAATTTAAAACAAAATTACAGTGTAGAGAAGTAATGAAAGATTGAATATTTTTATTTAATTGATAGTGATAAACTTCATTTTGCATCAACAACAGCATTTACTTTTTCATCTCAACGACAAAAAAGATTTCATAGAGATTTATATTAACTTAAATCAATATTTATTTAACGTTCTATGGAAATATCAAATAATCCTGAAGTTATTCGTCGAATAGGTCATTTTGCAATGAAAAGAGCATTAGAAGTTGATATTTATGGAAATGTTAATTCAACACATCTTCTTGGATCATCTATGATCAATGATATTGGTGGTAGTGGAGATTTTACTAGAAATCCTCGAATTATTCAATCTTTTTTTTTTGTTCTTATTTATTTATTTTAAATATTCGATGTTTTTTTTTTAAATTAGTAAATATCAATATTTGTGACTCGATGATTAGCTAAAGATGGAAAAATTTCATAATTTGTTCCAATGATCTGACATGTTGATCATAATGAACATTCAATTCAAATAATGGTTAGTCAACAAGGTTTAGCTGATTTACGTGCTAAAACTCGAAAACAATGAGCTGAATTAATTATTGAAAAATGTCTTCATCCAATCTATAAAGATCAATTAAGAGATTATTTTCAAGATGCACAACGTCTTTTATTCGGTCAACATACACGACATCATCTTAAACAAGCTCTTTCGTGGCATATTATATTACAACAAACTGCTTCTATGCATCATGATCATCAAACAACAAAACCAACAACTAGTAAACATACAGAAAAAGCAGCAAAGAAAATTGATAAAACAGCAACAACGAATAATGAATTGAATATATTTATTATTCTAGTGTTATATAAGACCTATTATAATAAAAAACTTTTTCATTTTTTATTCATTTTGACCTTAAAATAACAACTGTCAACAAACTGTCAATTCGATGCGGTCAACTTTATTTAATAAATAAACTTATTTATTTCCTTGTTTTCAATTGGTCTAACTCAAAATAAAATCGATTTAATATACTTTTTTTTCTTAACTAACTTTTCTAGATATTTTTAAAAATAAAACTAAGAATCAGTTAATAGAGGGTATAACAATATAACACTTTATTATAGAATCTTCCTTAGTTTTATTTTTCAATTGATTTATCATCGATATAGACGTGTCAATTAATAGGATCAATGTCTTCAACTAACCCTCATATATTTCGAGATAGTTTCGAAACGAATTTTTTCGTAGATTAACCTCAACTTTTTAGATTTTCGAACATCGACAAGTTGAACAAGAAAAAAATGGTTAAATCTTTATCGAATAAAGTTAAACAATATTATGTTTAACATATTGAATAGAGGATACACCGTAACGCCACCCAACCTGGTTCAACCGAAAGTTTTTTTCAGAGTTTTTTAGCCTAAACGAGAGATCATATCACCAAACTTAGAAATTGAGAATATTAGATTTTTCTCATGTACTGGTGAAAGGTACCGAAATTGAAAATCCTCTCATTTTCGCGTTAGACTATAGAAATACAAAAAAAAAGAGTTTTTTCACATATTAATTATACTTTGAAATATTCTCTCTGCTCATCCTATTGAGTAAGAATAAGTCTAAAAAGATCCAACAACAAAATTTTCTACAAAATCGATTGTGTCAATCATTTTTGCAATAAATTTAATAGAAAAATAAATGTGGAAACTTCGGATTTAAATCCGAGAGTTATGTCTGCTGAAGAACAGTCAATTAGACATATCAGTCATCCGATGAATCTATGGATATCGAAATTATACTGGGAAATCTTTCCTATAACACTGTTTATTTCTGTTGACTATTGATCCATCAATAGGGCTTCGAGGCGAATAGAGTGAAAATTTCAACTCTTACCCTTCATTTACCCTAAGAAAGTCGTTTTTCGTATAACTTGATTTCTATTGGTCATTGCTCAACCAATAGTATTTCGAGGACAAGTGGAGTACGGATTCGAGTTCTCCACCCCAGAAAACCTCAAAGTATCAACTCTATGATTGTAAGATAGACCTCCAATTATAAGTCAATTAGATCGTGGACAAAAACGGAACCCATTTCCCTTTAATTACCTTTGTGATAGGTGAGTCAGCCTTCTTGTTACTTTATGTTTTATATA